AGAGAGAGAGAGAGAGAGAGGGAATGCCATTCTCATGGTAGGCCAGTCTTTGTTTTATTGAAGGGTAAAATATTTACTTATTGGTGGACATGCACCTTTCAGTGAATGCTGCGCCGGTTGTTATACAAATCCACACCATTCCTCATGTTAAAATGCGATCACTTTCGTCGTTTTTTTCTGTGACAAACATAAAGAGTAACTTAATAACTTTATGGAGTTTATGCGTGGCTTGCCGTGTGTGTTTTTGTTTTTTTGTATTATGTTATGTAAATGTGTTAAGGTACATGAGTTCACTTGAAATGCATCTAGAAAACAAACAAGTTGGAGTCGGACAACAAAGTCGAATGCAAGTCATTAGTATGCATAATTTACCTGATTACTATAGTATTATATGCTTGGTAATCAATCCTATTGTTACGCCGTTTCATAATCATCTTTCCATGCATAACTCATAACCCAAGCGTTGAATCATTCATGCTCGTAACGAGTTCACATGCAATTTGATAGTTACAAATGTACAAATCATTAAATGTCTTTTTATTTCAGAGTCTATCAATGTATGGATCCTCATCTCGTTAACCACCTGCCGAACAAGTTTTACTAAAGACGCACGAGAGAATGGACGCCCTTAATTGCACGGGTTCTAACTTAAGCCAGATCGCTGGAGAAGACCCAGATTTTCTCCTCTATCAGTTCGTGGTGAACGCCTACATCACGGCCCCCCTATGTCTGCTGGGGTTACTTGGAAATACGTTAGCCTTTTTTACTCTAATGCGGGATACCAAAAGATCGGTGACATTTTTTCTGCTTCGTGCCATGGCGGTGATGGACAACCTTGTTCTTATTATTGCCCTGCTGTTGGTGTTACCAACTGTTCATCCTAATACTGGGCTTTTGAAATGTTTCAGCGAGATAGGCTATATCATGGACACGTGGATATGGCCGCTTGGAATGACCTTCCAGACAGCGGCCGTTTGGCTGGTAGTTGTTGTAACTGTTGATCGATACATTGCTGTTAAGATGCCTCACCGCGTCCGAAGTTTGTCAACAATTTCCAAGGCCAAAATAGCCACGGCGACCGTCTCTTTGATCTCCGTTCTCTTCAACTTGCCACGATTTTTCGAATTTTATATATCGTATGACTTGACGTGTGTTGACAATACCACTACCACTACCCTGAAACCGGTATCAGTTCCAACTGCTCTGCAGGAAGACCAGGACTACCATTACGTCTATACCTTCGCCCTATACTGCCTGGTGAATTTTGTGATCCCCCTAGCCACTTTAATTTTTCTTAACATCAACTTAATACTGGTTGTTCACAGGGCAAACACCGATCGACGGATCATGAGCGTACAGTCCCTAAGAGCTGCTAGTAGAAACCAGGCATCATCGGAAACCAATATTACCTTCATGTTAATTTTAGTGGTGTGCGTGTTCATTGTTTGCCAGCTGCCGGCACTTGTAACTCAGATATGGTATGCTGTGGATCCAGAACAGACTGGATACAAATATTTGGGAGAGTTAAGTAATCTTATGGTGACATGCAACTCGGCAGTTAATTTTCTGATCTATTGTGCGTTCGGGAAGCGTTTCCGAGAGTTACTCAGAGAGACGTTTTGTGGCCGCCATTCCAGGAGAAAGGGAAGAAGCAGCTTTCATCGTTCTTCTGATCGTTATACGGAGTCCATTCTTTTAAAAGACACCTAAAGAACCTAGTTTTTGATATTAATTGAGAACAAAAAGATCTTATTTCTGAAATGTCATGTAAACCCCCCAGTGCGGATCCTGTGCTTCTACATGTACATAAACGCAATCAGTGTTACATATTTACCCTCTACCCTCTACCAGGGCCGCAGTTATTATTGTTGACATTTTTGCTGAGGCGAGAGCCAAAATAACTGTCTATTTATCTTTAGACATATCTGTGAATATCTGTGGAAAATCAATCTGTCGCCCTTGTAGAGGGTAGTAGATACCCGGTGTCAATGAGGGACCTTTCCACTCGCTGAGAAAGAAGTATCTGAACAACTGATGTACAGACGGAGCAAACCAAATGTGCTTCTACAGACTCTTGTGCCATTTTTCCTTTCATATTTTGATGTAGGGAAGAGGTCCGAACTAACTTTAAAAGGAAGAGGCGACAATATGTTTTTGTGATGCATATTGGTAACTGTTTGCGATTTGCTTCAAACGAGACGACAGAGCCACAAAGTTCGTTCTGTGTCTGGTGACAAGTGAGACACTTGCCCTCTGATATTTACTTGTGTTTGTAGTATAGCCTATTACAATATTGAAGAAGAATTCTTTTTCCGGCGACCCATGTGGTCAGAGAGTATGAGGCACCATGAATGCTAAGAAAGCGTGACGACGCAGCCTCGTGGAACACTGGAGCTTCTGGCAAGCAAAACCAAAGTTATTATCTGTATCATATGTATTTAATTGATAATCATGAAAAATGTTACAATAAAATAACCAATCTTTCGTCGAAATAACTGATTGGACAATGTGTACTGGCAGTCATCAATCATAATAGTAATCATGGTCTGAAATTAACAAACGCATTTTGGCACTGTGGTAAGAAGAGAATTTGGCAGGTAACTACTGCATAATTCTGGACGATATAAGAACTTGTATGAACGCCGTTTATTTATTATTATTTTTATTATTATTATTATTATTATTTTGTTGTTGTTGTTGTTGTTGTTTTGAAGAGCGTAATATCATGTCTTAATTTAAAGTAATTTGAATTGTTTAAGGACGGCAACTGCTGGACAGTCTCTTGATGGAAACCAACAATTCTTTAAACGTTCAAATGCTTGTTCTTATATGCTTGGAATTAAAACGTAGATATTTCACAAAATGTTTTTGTATGTCACTGCCAAGCGAGATGACAGACTTTTGTCCTGTTTAAGATGGAAGATATTTATTTACAATTACTGAAATACATGAAAAGATAGCGAGATTTATAACGCCACGGAGGTTCAGTATTTAATGTTTAATCCTGATCTAAGTTCAGCAATTTCACCCGACTTTTACATGATATGTATTATCACATAAACCCACAAACACACACATACACATGTGCATACATACATACATACATACATACATACATATAACTTAAGCTTATTGTATCAATATCCACCTGCAAGAAGACAGAGTACAAGTCTATTTTGCGATAAATCTTAATATATGAACAGACATTAGTCCAATTAGGTATTTCGGCCCTAGCTCTGCATATAGATATTTCTTTTAAAATAAGCAATATAGGAATATGAAGGCCCGGTCTGAAAAATGGTAGTCCGCTGGGAACCGTAATCAATGGCACCTTACACAACAATTCTATTTTTCTCTCAAGCTCGAATTCATAATTTTATGTACACACTGTAGAGGACATGCACATATGTTCTGGACATGAACGCACATCCCAAAAATGATTGTACTAAAGTTTGTGTCTCAATGTGGCAAAATGAACGTATTCGTGACTCACTAAGCTTCATTCACTCATGGAAGTATTACTGTTATGTTTCCATGATTTTCTCTAACCGTTAATCAGTTAAGTAAACATCATGGTTTATGCTCGCATCCTGAGTTTTCTTGTCTCCCAGACTGCTTTTTAAATGCATGATATAAGAAAAATTTGTAACCTTATCTATTGAATTGATTGCTGATGTTATCATTCAAACTTTTATCAATATTTTCTCCATAATCTCCTGTAACAGAGCGCAAGTTTCCTTGAAACGATTCTTTAGAACCAAACGTTAGAGAAAACTTAAGTTACCGCTGTTTTAACTTCAATTCTTCTTATGTGTAAAATTCCCCTCTAGCATTCACAGTATTAGAGATAAAGTAAACCTTTTTTGATAACATTTCAGGCGGACATTTGGATTGACATGTGAACTCGCCCTCGCATTTATAACACCTTGTCAAAACGAATTTAATATATTCTTTTTCACATATAAACAATTTCTTGTGAGAAATCAAAATTCATTGCCACCCAATGTTTTCAAAATTTTTCCATAAATAATATTTTCCACTTTCGCTGTTTTTTTTTTCGTCAATTATTTTTTGTACCTAAGCATGTTTCAGTGCTCTTGAAAAGAATTTAAAGTCAGGTACTCGTAGTCCATCATGTAAAGAGTCTTTCCTCATTCTGCCTCTTTTAATCTGTCAACTGGGCTTCCCATAACATCAAGAACGTAATGTTATCGATTTCTTTAAAAAACATTTTCCTGGTTTGGGTAACTCTGTAAATACCCGGACAAGGATGGGGGCGCCAGGGATGTGATGACTGTCATCTTGCCCATTAAAGAAAGTTCAATATTTAACTTTTCAAGTTTTTCTTTGAAATTTTCTTCTTAGAAATCGATTTTAGATAAATCATACTTGATTCCCAAAAGTTTAAGTTGACCTCTATTATTCCTATGAAATTTTTATGTTTGCTTTTAATTTTTCATTACTACCCCTCTTAGATCCAATCCAAATTGCTTCGGTCTTCTCAAAACTGACCCTCAGGCACGAGCATTCGGCAAAAAGTTTGTCGAATTGTTCATTTAGTGACACTTCCTCATCGCGAAGTATCAGAGAAATATCTGCGTAATTGCAAACTTAGTATTCAACCTCATTCACGAATTTGCCTTACATATTTGCATATTTTAATAAAGTTACAAAACGCTTACTAACATTTACTGTAGTATTTTTCACATTTTACACCTCCACTTTTTTCTCGTCGAAGAAGGACCTCTCTCCTCAGTGCGGGGCTTCAAACCCAATTAACTTCAACTCATCCGTCATCATCTGCTCAGGCACATCGCTTTACATATCCTTAACTGTTGTCGACATCAGATCAATTAGCGTTCAAATCATCGCCGAGTCAGCGATGAAAAGCGTTCTAATCACACGAGCAATCTGGAAAGAGGCCGAGATCAGACAAGTGGAATATTTATGAGACGCCAACAGAATTTGTCACATTGTTAAAGATCTGAAGACATCCAGCGGGACCTTGTGCCTTTTATGGCAGGTCGATGGAATTCTAAAGAGTTCCAATATAATTTCTTCCTTATTTTATTTTGTGTAATAATTTTCAGGAACGGAATTTGCTGTTGGCTGAGACATAAATGCGCCCTTCGTAGTATGCCGTCCAAACTGACGGATATTTGTACAGAAAATAAGTTACTTTGACCGGCTTTCATTTAGTTGACCGCTTTGACCAAATTATAACTATTGATTGATAGTAATGAGGGACCCTAGAGAAATATGTTGTCATTTTCCCGCCAATCAAACAAAAAACTTAGTATCGTCCACCCATAAAAACTATAGATTTTTTGTGAAGCGTCTGTACAAGTCGGAAAAACACAACTTCAGCGTTAATTACCGCAAAATCTGACCTGCACAAAATTCGCAACATTTTGGCATATTGTGCCACCATCTTATATTTGACGCTCTTCGCAGTAGGCTATCACTAACTGACTTAACGGAAAGCTCTTAACGATATCCGATCATGTTTAATTTACCAACAAATCGAAAATGAATTTTAGCACTGAATCTGGTAGTGAATGCTAATTTACTGCCAATACTTATCACATTTCGCTGTGTGGTATCTATTTGATGGATTACTCTGTGAAATGATACTAAATCCAATAGAAATTCAGTATTTATGTTAGATACACGACGAAATACACGTCTCAGATTTTAGATTTAAAAAACCCAATTGCATTAGTTCCTTTCACAATGGTCCTCACCTGTACATTACCCATGGGTATCTTGTATCTTTGGCAAATCACACAAATATACAAAAACATACACTTTGTAAATCTCGTCGGGGAACTGAAAAAAGTATAGTGTATAAATCAGAACCAAATATGATTATTTTTCAGAAGGCCGTATATTGATATCAACAATCTATAATAAATGCGTATTAAACCAGTAAGAGCTAATATTAGTATCAATATTCGGTGAGTCAGCTTCTCCTGCTTTGGGATATAAGGGGAAATTATTTTCACCTTCAATCCCAAATAAATTGCAGCATTGAGAAAGGTTTTATTGTAATCTACTTTGAGCCTGAGCATTGGGACTGAGTAAGTATTGGTATGTGTCGCGGTCGTAAGTCTACGAGGATAAATGAAAAACGCGGAAAGAGTTCCTAGGAAGTTCTGGGTTAGATGTTGGTACCTAACCATTCACCCCGCGCCTAATGGTACCTTACCATGAAGCCCGGGATGACAGGGATATCAAATACGTTCTATAAAGATTCACTGAAGTCTGCACGATAGGCCTATCACTTTTGTTCTGCTGCTTTTCAGAGAAGAATCATTATAATTTAAGTAATGGCTTGCTTCATGTGTTAAAACTTGAAAACAAGAGCGTGGCAGATATTGGAAATAATGCCA